GGATGCCGTCAACGCCCTGGGAAGGGGTGAGAAAAGTACAGGGGGGATTAGTGTGTGACTGTGTTTTGTGTGTGTGTCTGTAGGTTATGTCCTAAAGCAGGGGTGTCAAACATGCGGCCCAGGGGCCGGATCAGGCCCCCGGAGGGCTTCCATCCGGCCCCCAGTGGAACTGGCCATCTCCTGCTTCCAGTTCTGCTGCTTCTGCTGCTGCATCATAGCTTGCTTCCCCAGACTCTCTTAATCACTCAGCCATTTCATGTTTTAACCTGGGTCCTAGACTCAGAACTCTGAGCATGAGATTTCTGTGGTGTATGTCAATAAATCAAAAGTAGGTTTGCAGCTTACAGAACTAATGTTTTAAGAAGAAGAAGAAGAGAAGAAGAGATTGGATTTATACCCCGCCCTTCACTTGGAGTCTCAGAGTGGCTTACAGACTCCTTTCCCTTCCCCTCCCCACAACAGACACCCTGTGAGGTGGATGGGACTGAGAGAACTCTGACACAAACTGCTCTTTTTCAAGGACAAGAAACTTTGGACTCATTACTTAATGGATGCAGTCTCCAACAAACTAAATTACATGTCACAAAACCCAATAAAGTCTAATTTCATAGAAAAATGGTACCCAGTGCTGGATTATCTGTCTCAAAAACAATTTTTTACTTATTTCTTCTCCACTAGCTCTAATATTTCACATTAAATCTTCCAAATGGTCGAATGATATGAAGTAATTGTTATTGTAAGTTGATAATAGAAGTTTCCTTTTCTTTCTTCTCTTTCTTACCGCTCCAATAGTTCAGATTGCTTCCTAATGTTTCTATCAAGTTTATGCCAAGTCTGTTATCTTTCTACTGAAAACATATTCGGAAGTGTGATGAGTAATGTATTGTAATTCTTTGAACATGTTATAACGTTGTACATACTCAGGAACTATTTACAGGATGTGAATGTAATTGGAAGATTAATTGTTCACTGTTTGAAGTGTTAGAATTGTTAAAAATTGGGGGAAAAAACATTTAAAAAAAAAAAAAGGACAGCCGTGCCAGAGCTTGTGACTGACCCAAGGTCACATCAGCAGGTGCAAGTGGAGGAGTGGGGAATCAAACCCGGTTCTCCCAGATTAGAGTCCGCACACCTAACCACTACACCAAACTTTAAGCACGTTTTTATTTTAAGTAAAAGAAACCCTTTGTGTTTGTGTCCTTTATCAAGTTTATATCTCCGCTACCTGGCATTACATTTTATGACACACACGGCCTGGCCCAACAAGGTCTCACTTATGTCAGATCCGGCCCTCATAACAAATGAGTTCGACACCCCTGTCCTAACGGAAAGGTACACCTCAGATCTTGGTCTCCATCTCCGGGACAAAATCATGGCCTGGGTGAGTGAGGGTCCAATTGGGAGCCCCCCTCCCCCCATGCCAAAGTCTAGTGAACATCAAGCTATTTATGACATGCACCAAAACCGTTTTTCACCCTAGGCCAAGGGAAGGCTTTCCCCCTTGTGCTTTCCAAAGAGCGGCACACAGGGAGCCAAAATTCAACTGCTGAGATATTTCCCCAATATAGAGGTGCAGTGATGGGGAGACCGTTGCTGCCAGTTGAATTTTGGCTTTTGCGCAGCTGAGGACGGGAGCGCCGGGGCTGCTCCCGGAAAGAAAAATCGGCAGCTCCCTCAGTCCAGACCCCGATGCCCATCCATGTCCTACGGACCCCTTCCTGATCCAACCCTCTTCTGCTCCAAGAATCAGGGATCCAAGCTTTGCGAAGCTTGCTCTGCTCCCAAATCTAGTTTCTCCCCACCCCGAAAAAGCAAGGCCTCCTGCCCCCCCCCCCCAATTCTCAAGCGCATGGGCCTCGATACCCCTTTCACTCTGCTTGCTAATGGGGCAAGGATGTCCTTTGCTGGCGAGAAATGGCACATTGGTGCATCACAAGCAAAGAATGATGGGTAACCTGGTCACGTCAAGCCCCATGGGCCAATCAGGGACTTACCTTCGCACCACGAGGGCCTGGGTAGCCAATCGTACCTTGAGGACCGGACGGGCCCTGGAAGACACAGAGGAAAGCAGGAAAGGAGACCAATTTAGAAGTGTTGCGGAATTAGGGCTGGATCGAGCCTCAGTCCTCTGCTAAACCTCTGGTACACCCGTGATACTTTAATGTCTATAGCAATTAGCCTCTATAGTTGAAACGTTGGTTCTGCGTCCAGGAAGCTTCAGGACTCTGCCGAGTGCTGTGGCCTTCACTGTACACGGATCTGACACACGTGGCTTTTGCCTACTGGGAATGTTCATACTTTACAGCCGTCAGCAGCAGTGCTCCCTCTAAGCTGAGCTAGTGTGAGCCAGCGCATGATTTTTTTAGCCTCCGGCTCACGCATTTCTGGCTCGGCTCAGGCACGGTGGCTCCAGAGCAAAGTAACTGATGCAGCGGCCAAATCGCCCGCTCACAACTTTAATGCCAGGGAGATCGCAAAGTAGAATTTTTGCGAGACTCCACAGCTTAGATGGAGCATGGGCCAGCAAATTCTAAATAGATAGGGTATCTGAAGCTAGCTTCCCGGGACTCTCTTAGTTAGCCTTGACTCTCATGCTGGCTTAAGCCAGCTTTCCTTGACTTTCCTGATCCCAGAGGTAGACAGAAAGGGGCCGAGCTTTGTGGTATACGTCAGATGTAGGTCAAATGCTCATCACAGACTTGACAGACCGTTACAGTAGCCTCTACGAGTGAAAAAGAGTACTTAACGTCTGTTTTTAGTCCTGTTCGTGGTTGTTCTGATCAACTACCCTCCGTCATGGGTCTTGGCAGAGCAACCAAGGATATCCTTTACAGAATTTCAAGTGCGCTATTTATGTATTGGGGTCGTGTAGAAATATTCTGTGCTAAAAAAGTGTTTTCTCATTTAAAAGTGTGTAATGGAATAAACTGAGTTTTGGTTTAGAACCTCTCTCTCTCTCTCTCTCTCTGCAATTGGGAAGCCAGCTTCTCTCACTCCTCAAACTGAACACAGTGGGGATGAAATCTCTGGATCGGGAGCCACGTGGGCCACGGTCGCCACAAGCACGGCGCAGTGTCTCGTGGCTCCTTCACGACGAATGGGTTTATATCAGGGCGCCCAGGGTCTTGCATGCTGGCGTCTGAGGGAGTCCCTCTCGTCCCTGAGAGCTGCGTTCAGTCGGCTCATCTTTGCGGAGTTCTGTGGGGCTTGGAAAGCGCAAGACGGCCCTTGTTGTGTTTCGGCCTGGAGGGCCCAGCAGTACCCTCTCTGACCGGCAGGAGCAAGAACAGATCCAAGCTGACCGGCATGTGGTTTCTGGGGCACGGAGGGAGCGTGGACTCTCCTAATCTCACATTCTGAAAACCTTTTTTGGTCTCTAAGGTGCTACTGTCGTATGAATGGGAATACAAAGATTCTTTTCTTTCGATTATTCATATTTTTCTGGTTTTATAGATTTTTTCCCTTCTAAGTAAGATTTTATTAGGATGTAATGAAGGCCTATTAGATAGTAGGCCTTCCCCTTTGTAGGTTAGGGCATTTTTCCAGTTGACGCTGGCAAACAAGACAATAACATTCTTTTGGTAGAGAAGATAGATATAAAGTTCATGGTTTTTAGTTGTTTAGGGTAAACCTTTACAGTGTCAGGGTCAAAAAGGATTTTAGCTCCGTATCAGAAAAAAACCCCTTTGTTTGGGTATAGAGAATCCTTGGCCAATATTATTCAGGTTAGGTTAAGTAAACACTTGACGATGTTGTATAGGCAGGGGTCATTTCCTGCAGGAACACACAGGAGCAGAGCTCCAGCAGTAAAGAGCCCAGGGGGCGGGCACATGCAACAAGCCCGACCCCCTGCTCCCAGCAGCCCTCAGTCAGAGCAAGAAGCAGCCAGGTACGTTGCAGAGTCCCCCCCGCCCCCCCCCAGTCCAAAACAGTCCAGTGGAACCTTCAAGACCAAGTTTTATTCAGGTACAAGCTCTCCCTCCTCTGTGAGGACAGATCTGCACGTCCCCCCCCCAATAGCTAGCAATCCAAAACAGTCCAGTGGAGCCTAAGCGGTGGGTGTTGCCTTCTGACACACTTCTGGTGATGTCAGGGGGTGTGGCATATGCAAATGCATTATGCTAATGAGTTACGCTAATGAGCTCCTGCACCGCTTTTTCTACGAAATGACCCCTGCGTGTAGACACACCTTTCTTTACATTTGACCAATCAGGGAACTATTACTCAAGTGATGCATGGTCTTTTGTAACCAATTATGGTTTTTGAATGTTATCTTTATGATTATGTCACTCCAAGTATAAAACTTCACGTATTTCCTGATTGTACTCAGAAAGCAGAAAGCTTTTTGGCCTGACTGTTTTCCGGCGACTGATTGCAATTAAACACAAAGACCTTTCCTCCTCATTTTGGCTTCATTTTTTTTGACCAGGATTCTATTTGTATAACACTAGTGGACTCTAGCTCTTCTTCACCACAGGATCCTTGCCCCCCCAAAAAAACCTCCCCTTTTAAAGGCGGAGCACTTAGGGACCGTGGCTCAGTGGCACAGCATCTGCTTGGCATGCAGAAGGTCCCAGGTTCAATCTCTGGCAACCCCACTGTAATGTATCCAGTCCAGACCGCGTGGCCGACTTGGGCTGCACGTGGTCAGGCACACGCGTCGAGCTTCGCTCCAAGAGACAATGGACTATGCGGATCCTAGCCCGCTCCAATCAGGGGGCTAGGTTCCCAGCCGAGAGCCTATGGGACTCTCGGCCACTGTAAATAACCTATTGGGAAGTGGGTGTGTGTGTTTTGGGTGGCGGTTTCTCAGGGGATATAAGCCGGCCTGCGAGACCGGCCAAAGTCGTCTTGTTCCTGATCGAATAAAGTACGCTTTGCTGAAACCACTCTCCGTCTGTGTACTTTTCACCCACGTTAAAAGGAACGCGAGGGCCTCCAATGAAGCTGATGGGCAGTCAGTTCAGAAGGAAATCATACCTCTTCACATAAAGAGTGTGACTAAAACGTGGAAGTCGCTGCCTGAGGGGACGTGGTGATGGCCACAGGCATAAACAGCTTGAGAAGGGGATTGGATAGATTCATGGACGATCAGTCTATCCGTGGCTACTGGCCATGGTGGCTGAGGGGGGGGGGACCCTCCCCATTCAGAGGCACTAAACCACCGGATCCAAGAGCCAGGAGGCAGAATCAGGGTTCTTCTTATGTTCCAATGTCAGGAGCAGGTAGCCACTGGTGTGAAAGACCCAGGGGTCGTTTCGTAGAAAAAGAGCTAGGGGAACTCATTAGCATAACTCATTAGCATATGCCACACCCCCTGACATCATAAGGCCCGGCGGTGGACCTGCAAGGCCGGCGGGAGTGCGAGGAAGCCCCGCCAAGGCCCTCCCTGGCCCCAGGCAGGCAGGGGTGGGGAGAGGCGGGGAGGAAGCAACTTACCCTCCCTCTTCTCCTGCCTCCTCCTGGCTGAATGAGGTCCGGAAGCAGGGGGCGGCCAGAAGCAGGGGGCGGGGCTTCGTCGTGTGCCTCCCCCCCACCCGGGGGAACTGCGATCCTCCGCAATCCCCCCCCTGAATCGACCTCTGGCCGAGACCCTGAAGAGCCGCTGCCAGTCTGAGTAGACAATACTGACCTTGATGGACCGATGGTGTGATTCAACATAAGGCAGCTTCACGTGTGTATCTGCTCATGTGTGTCTCGCTCCACGTCAGGAGAGCCACAGTTTCCTTGTTCCAAAACGTGCCGTCCCCTCTCTGGCTGGCTTGGAGGGAATGTGGCCACGTGGAGGCCTTGTGCATCAGAGGTAGGGTTCCCAAGTACTTACCGCGATCCGGCGGGGGAAACAGGCTCCCCGGCTGGACCATTCCTCCTTGTAACACAGCCTGCCGTCGCCAGGAAGTGATGCTGGGTGACGCTCTGGCAATGGGGCTGAAAACTCGATGGTACCATCGAGTTTCCAGCCCCATTGCCAGAGCGTCACCCAGCATCACTTCCTGGCGATGGCATGGTGTGACGCATCTGTTGTTCCTGCGGGAATGATCCTGTGAAGACGTCTGTGTCCCCCGCCGAATCATGGTAAGTACTTGGGAAGCCTGATCAGAGGGCAACAGCCATGACGTGGCCTCGCTGCATGGAACGGTGGTGGTTGTTCCTTGCATGGCCCCATTCCAGAAAGCCCCCGCCAGAGAAGAAAGTCTTCAGAAGATGCCTTCCAAGGCCCGTTCTTACCTGGTTTCCTTTGGTTCCAGGGTGCCCCTCTTTTCCAGGGTGGCCCTAAGAGAGGAGAATCGGTATCAGAACACTGGCTGACTGAACGTGGACTTTAATTTGGCTGGGAAATGGCATCTGTAGGCAACCAGAGCCCTTCCTGTTAAAAACGGCTGCTAGGCCGGAGAAAACCCGGGCACTTCCTGTTCAAAATGGCTGCTCGGCCAGAGAAAGCCTGAGCACTTCCTGTTCAAAGTGGCTGCTAGGCCAGACAAAGCCTGAGCCCTTCCTGTTCAAAATGGCTGCTAGGCCAGAGAAAGCCTGAGCACTTCCTGTTCAAAATGGCTGCTAGGCCAGAGAAAGCCTGAGCCCTTCCTGTTCAAAATGGCTGCCAGGTCATAGAAGGCCCAAGCACTTTCTGTTCAAAGTGGCTGCCAGGCCAAAGAAAGCTTGAGCACTTCCTGTTCAAAGTAGCTGCCAGGCCAGAGAAAACCCAAGCACTTCCTGTTCAAAACGGCTGCTAGGCCAGACAAAGCTTGAGCCCTTCCTGTTCAAAATGGCTGCTAGGCCAGAGAAAGCCTGAGCCCTTCCTGTTCAAAATGGCTGCTAGGCCAGAGAAAGCCTGAGCCCTTCCTGTTCAAAGTGGCTGCTAGGCCAGACAAAGCCTGAGCCCTTCCTGTTCAAAATGGCTGCCAGGCCATAGAAGACCCGAGCACTTCCTGTTCAAAGTGGCTGCTAGGCCAGACAAAGCCTGAGCCCTTCCTGTTCAAAATGGCTGCTAGGCTACAGAAAGCCTGAGCCTTTCCTGTTCAAAGTGGCTGCCAGGCCAGACAAAGCCTGAGCCCTTCCTGTTCAAAACAGCTGCTAGGCCAGACAAAACCTGAGCCCTTCCTGTTCAAAATGGCTGCTAGGCTACAGAAAGCCTGAGCCCTTTCTGTTCAAAGTGGCTGCCAGGCCATAGAAGGCCTGAGCACTTCCTGTTCAAAATGGCTGCTACTAGGCCAGAAACAACCACTCCCTTCCTCTCAAACACTCCTACTGTGTGGAGCAGGGGACGGGTATGGGAGACTGCAGGGAGGGGGCAAGTACTTACAGGGGGTCCGTCCGAGCCTGGCATCCCGGGGAGGCCAGGTTTCCCATTGGGGCCCTTAGGGGGAGAGAAGGAGAAACACGTCAGGCCAGCAGTGGCTTGGCACCCTAACCCAGACGTTCCCACAGCAGTGGAGGGGGGCACACATCACCTTTTCCCCCGGAGGCCCCATAGGGCCTTGCGGTCCGGCCAGACCCTAGAAAGAAACGCAGAGGAAGACTCAACGTCAGACAGTCCCCGCGACTTCCAGTATCCCAACCCCCTAGATCCAACCACTTTTCCAGTACCCCAGACCCTTAGATCCCTTACTCCCAAGGAGCCCAGAAGACCCCCATTAGGCACAAGGAGAACGGAATGCCACCTAGCTAGCGGCAGACACACACAAACAATGAATGAACTCTGGAAGAGATCAGGGCCCTGCGGGACCTTTTACAGTTCTACAGGGCCTGCAAGACGGAGCTCTTCCGCCAGGCTTTCATCTAAGAGCTGCCACCACTATTAACAACTGCGACAGCCCGCAGAGAATGGTCCCTGGTTGGTTCTCGATAGCCTAGGCGCGCCAAGTACATCTGAGGAAGATCGGTGGGCTGGAATTTCAACAACTACGGAATGCACTCACACGGTAACGCCATCATCACGACATTAAACAACAAAGCTAGCACTTTGACGTTGTATTGTTTTAATGATTTGTTTTTAAATGTTTCATGAACTTTTGATTGTTATTCTGAATTTTATCCCGTGTAAGCTGCCCTGAGCCTGCTCCAGTGGGGTAGGGTGGGGTATCAATCGTAAAATAAAAAAATAAACACACACACACACACACACACACTTAGCATGGCCAAGGCTCCCAGGTCAATCCCTGACATCTTTTTGTTTCCTAGAAAGGACCAATTCCCGCAATGAGCATCGGTCAGTAGCAGTTATCCATGCGCAGCAGAGCCTCCATGTTCAGAGGCAGTCTCTCTCTCGAGACCAGATGTTAGGGACCATGAAAAGGGAGGTGGGGGCTGCAACTGCCATGCCCCAGTGGGAGGGCTTCAGGGTGGCCAGCCTCCAGGTGAGGCCTGGGGGATCTCCCGCTTTTACAACCGGTCTCCAGCTGGAAGAGATCAGCTCCCCTGGAGGAAATGGCTGCCTTGGAGGTCGGACCCTATGGCATCGTACCATGCGGAGGCCCCTCCCCTCCCCAAAGCCCGCCCTCTCCCAGATCCGCCCCCAAAGTCTCTGGGTATTTCCCGACCCAGACCTGGCAGCCCTCAGCTTCTTGGAGGCATCTGGCCAGCCATTACGGGAAACAGGAGATTGGTCTAGACGGCCCCCACTTTTCTCTGACCCAGCGGGGCTCACCTGCATCCGAGGTCCCCTCTTACCTGAGTCCCTGGGGTTCCCTGCTGACCGGGGGGGCCTGGCTCCCCTTGTGGCCCCTGGTTGGGAAAAACAACAACAAAGTGTAAGGTCATCAAGCTGCTGGAGGGACCAGCGGTCTCCTTCTCAGAGGGCAGCTCCCTGCACCAGTTAAGGAGAAAGGGGAGCGGTGGCACAGGGGATTTATCCTCTGGTTAAACATCTGAGCTGAACAGGACGGCTGTCAGTTCGAGCCCCGCACTGGTGTGAGCTACCAAGCCTTGTCCCCAGCTCGCCGTCCAGCCAGCGGTTCGAAAGCTTCGGCGCGTAGATAACCCCCCCCCCGGTGGGAAAGTGTTAGCCGACAAACAGAAGGTCCTCGCGTAAGCTCAAAAGCGGAGAGAGATCTACACGGCTTGTTAGCCGACAAATGGAAGGTCCGCGCGTAAGCTCAAAAGCGGAGAGAGATCTACACAGCTTCAAAGAAAAGCCTGCGATGGGCCATTCCGGCCAGACGGTGGCAGTGGTGCGCTGCAACCGAGAAAATGCTGACGACATCAAGCGACACCGACTAAAGAATGCTGCCAGGACACGTCTGATGCTTACAGCTGACCAAGCTCCCTGTCGACTGCGAAGTGTGTGTGATTAAAAATGATATATGTTGTCCTCCCTTACCCCCATCATTGTGAGTCCCGTGTCTACACAGGAGTAACTGTAAATCGCTCAGAGCCGGCAGCTCTGCAAGGATTGAGCGATCAATAAATTGAAAGATTATTATTATTATTATTAGAAAGAACGCAAAACATCCTAAAAGGAGACCATCAAGGCTGGAAAAACGGGAAGTCTTTTGTCCTCCCGTTTCCCTAAATGCCTCCAGGCTGGGGCTTCGGTGAAAGTCAGAAACCTGGGGCCACCACACTGCTGGCCCTGATGGCTTTCTCTCGTGGTACGGAAGGACCTGTGAGGAGAACTTCCCCTGTTCCCTCCAGGGGAAACAAATGTTTTTCTCCCGTCCCACAACTAGGAAACTGTCAATGCACTAAACTCCCTCCAGGCTGGAAACCATGCACTCTAGTCTCAGAAGTCGGGTTGTGGCTACTGAGGAGTGACGGAAGGGCACTCTGCCCATGCCCAGAGGCATGCACAAGTTTGCTTCTTTGCGGTGGGATGTGCTGTCATCTTCCTTACGGAGGTTTTGAAGCCAAGATTTGGGTATCAGATCAGTTCCAGATCACCCGGCCTCAAGCAGAGGACAGGATGATCAATGCTCTTCTTTTTCAAAAAGAGAAGATACAAACACGATCCCTCTTTAAAAAGGCAGATGAGCGAAATATAGAGACTTTGTGTTTTATTAATAAGTACTGTGCGTATGGATAACATTTCTCTTCTTGTTTATTAGATATTGTTGAAAGATACTGTGTACAACTAACAAGTAATACAAGATGTAAAAATATATAAAACTCAATAAAAATGCTATTTAAAAAAGAAAAAGGCAGATGAGCTTTAGAGGTTCTTCAATGGCTTGGTTTCTACGATGCAGATATCTCTTTGACGAAGTTAATGATAACTGATAAGTCTGTCTGGCACCCAAGCCTTTCCCCTTCCCGCCCCCGTATGACACACTCACCAGGTTCCCCTTTGGCCCGTGCGGCCCATCCATGCCACGCACGCCCTGCCAAGACACAGAGAGAGAGGCGTGGCGGTTAGGGGCAGAGCTAAGGGGGTTGCACCTCGCAGAGGTGGAAGATCCCCTCCCCAGGACTTACCGGTGGGCCTGCGATTCCTGGGGGCCCTTTGGGGCCGAGCAAACCACGGGGTCCCTGTGAAGAGGCAAACGAAAGCGGGCTGTCAACAGTGTTCCCTCTAAGCTGAGCTAGTGTGAGCTAGCTCAGTTTTTTAGCCCCCGGCTCACATATTTTTCTCTTAGCTCAGGGAGGATGTGGCTCCAGAGGCAAACTAAGTTATGCAGTAGCCCAATCGCTCGCTCACAGCTTTAGTGCCAGTGGCTCACATCACAAAGTAGAATTTTTGCTCACAGGACTCCACAGCTTTGGGGGAACGGAAATGTACACCGGTGACAGTACACCGGTGAAGAGGCTGAGAGGACGGGTCCTTCTCCTACCGACATGGGCCCCGAGTGCATCACTTTGTACTGATATGCAGGGGATACAGTTGAGATCTAAATTATGAATTTAATATATTTCTTCCAAAAGTGCTGGATGTTCACTTTCCCCATGTATTTCAATTACGGCGATAGCATTTTGTCTAAAAGCCTCTGTGCCGTCGTGAAGACTTCCTTGAATCGATGGAAACCGGGGCTGTAAATCTTCCACGTGGCTTGAAAAAGACACGTCTCTCTCAGGGCTCACGGGACTAAAATGGTCCTCTGTAGAACAAAACGGGGGTGGGGCCTCCATCGGGAGAGCCCCCATTGCACGGTGCAGCCCAGAGACAAACGTTTTATCTCCTCGAGTGCTGTTTGGGAGAACACGGCCCCGATCCTTTTCATTTTCGGGAGCCAAAGGCTGCATGCACGGCACCCGGGCCTCTGCTGAGTCCTGAGCCGCGCCACCTTTTCCCAGAATCCCTTGCAGGCACCGAGGGCAGGGGGGCACCTACCGGCTCTCCAGGAAGCCCACGTGGTCCCACATCTCCGTCGTCTCCCTACGAGGAAAGAAAGGATCTCAGCGTCACGCGGGCATTAGCGCAATGTGAGGGGGGGCAATTCAGCTCAGAGAGGTGCCTCCTTCCCGCCACCACGATAGCGGCACCATTCAATTGGGCCTGAGACCCTGACGAGACACCTCGCTTCTCAGCCCGGGGATCTCAGTTTCCCAGGGGTCATTTCCTGCAGGAGCGCACAGGAGCGGAGCTCTGGCAGTAAAGTGTCCAGGGGGTGGCCACATGCAACAAGCCCCACCCTCAGTCAGAGCAAAAAGCAGCCAGGTAAGTTGCAGAGGGCCCCCCCCCGGTCCCCCGGTCCAAAACAGTCCAGTGGCACCTTTAAGACCAAGTTTTATTCAGGTACAAGCTCTCCCTCCTCTGTGAGGACAGATCTGCATGTTCCCCCCCCCCGCCCGCCCAATAGCTAGCAATCCAAAACAGTCCAGTGGAGCCTGAGTGGTGGGTGTTGCCTTCTAACACACTTCCGGTGAGGTCAGGGGGTGTGGCATATGCAAATGAGCTATGCTAATGAGTTATGCTAATGAGCTCCTGCACCTCCTTTTCTACTAAATGACCCCTGCAGTTTCCAGGGCTTTGAGGGGGGAAACCGAGCTCCTCATTTTCAAGACAGTGGAAATAACTAGGAAGCAGGGGCTTTTTTGGTAGAAAAAGCCCAGCAGGAACTCATTAGCAAATAGGCCACACCCAACAGCAGAAATTCATTTGCTTATTAGAACACACCCCTGACAGCACAGCTCATTAGCATATTAGGCCACACACCCCTTGTTCGCAGAAGTGTGGTCATCCAGACACACTCACCTTTTGCCTCTTATTCTGTTTACCTTGTTTGTTGTCCAAACCCAGGGCCTTTTTTGTAGCAGGAACTCCTTTGCATGTTAGGCCACACACCCCTAATGTAGCCAGTCCTAATGAGTTTCTGCTGCTGGGTGTGGCCTATTATGCTAATGCGTTTCTGCTGGGCGTGGCCAACTCGGGAGCCTGCCGGAACTCCGTTCCTGTGCGTTCCTGCCCAACAATAGCCCTGCTAGGAAGTATCACAAATGGGGCCAAGTTGAGGCTTGGCTCAGTTTCCGCAGGCCGGGGGGGGGGATGGGGGGGCGTCTGGGCCCCAGGTCCCTCTTTGCCCCCATCTGCAAACAGGACGAGCCGAATAAACCGCCAAAGACCAGCAGATCAGCTAATATAGTCTTGATGCTTTGCAGAACTTGGTGGCACTGGGGCTGGCTGCCGAATTTTGACCCTCCTTTCTAGCACAAAGTATTTCTCATTTTATTTATTTTACCTCATCTGTGCTGCACTTTTTTTTACCTCATGGGGACACAAAGTGGCTTACAACGTTCCCCCCCCCTTCCTCCATTTTAGATCTTCGTCCAGTAGCACCTGATACCCCCAATAAAATCTTGCTGGTCTCAGGTACAGGTGTTCTGCTGAAACTTTCCCCACTGTATGTTCACAACAACCCTGAGAGGTTGGCTAGGTGGAGAGTGTGCGGCTGGCCCACACTTGAGTGGCCAGGTGTGGATTTAAACCCGGGTCTCACAGATTTGAATCCAACACTCTTAACACAGGGGTGTCGAACTCATTTGTTACGAGGGCCGGATCTGACATAAATGAGACCTTGTCGGGCGGGGCCCTGTGTGCCATAAAATGTAATGCCAGGTAGCGGAGATAGAAAGTTTATAAAGGACACAAACACAAAGGGTTGGGTTTTTTTAACTTAAAATAAAAACGTGCTTAAAACACTAGCGTTCTTGCAATATTTTGTTTATTTAACAAGTGTCCAATAACTGACACCTCTTGCTCTGAATTATTGCCTCAAAATGCCTGTGCTGTCGCAGTCTTGACTATGCTGTTCAGGTGTATATCTGTAAGCTGCAAACGTACGATGACGCAGCAGCAGCAGAACTAGAAGCAGCAGCAGAAGGCAGTCAGAACTAGAAGCAGAACTAGAAGCAGCAGCAGAAGGCAGTCAGAACTAGAAGCAGAACTAGAAGCAGCAGCAGAAGGCAGTCAGAACTAGAAGCAGAACTAGAAGCAGCAGCAGAAGGCAGTCAGAACTAGAAGCAGAACTAGAAGCAGCAGCAGAAGGCAGTCAGAACTAGAAGCAGAACTAGAAGCAGCAGCAGAAGGCAGTCAGAACTAGAAGCAGAACTAGAAGCAGCAGCAGAAGGCAGTCAGAACTAGAAGCAGAACTAGAAGCAGCAGCAGAAGGCAGTCAGAACTAGAAGCAGAACTAGAAGCAGCAGCAGAAGGCAGTCAGAACTAGAAGCAGAACTAGAAGCAGCAGCAGAAGGCAGTCAGAACTAGAAGCAGAACTAGAAGCAGCAGCAGAAGGCAGTCAGAACTAGAAGCAGAACTAGAAGCAGCAGCAGAAGGCAGTCAGAACTAGAAGCAGAACTAGAAGCAGCAGCAGAAGGCAGTCAGAACTAGAAGCAGAACTAGAAGCAGCAGCAGAAGGCAGTCAGAACTAGAAGCAGAACTAGAAGCAGCAGCAGAAGGCAGTCAGAACTAGAAGCAGAACTAGATTTTCTACGAAATGACCCCTGATAATAAACAAACACCACAGTGCCCCAGTGGACCCGCAGGAAGTGGGACACCCCAACTCTAAGCAGTATTATTATTATTACTACTACTACTATTACTATTACTATTATTACTATTATTAAAATGTCTAGATCGGCCAGTCCCTGAGTACACAAGGCTCTGGGTGATTTACAACAGGTTAAAAACAGCACAAAATTTCAGATTAAAAGCAACGAATCAATTATCCTTAATTTAACAGTCTCCAGATGGCCTCCTTAATTTTAATCCAAAACCTACTTTGGGCTGCACTTCTATCTCGCGGGCAGGTTAAAGAGGAGGCCGAAGCGGGCAGAATGGAAGAAAAGAGGCCGGTGCCAGCCAGCGTTCCCTCTAAGCTGAGTTAGCGTGAGCCAGCTCACAGTTTTTTAGCCTCCGGCTCACACATTTTTATCTCAGCTCAGGAAGGATGGCTCCAGGACAGCTTAGAGGGAGCATTAGTGCCAGCTACAATGGGAGACCGTTGCTGTTCCCAACCAAAAGCCTGGCAGAACATCTCTGCCTTGCCGGCCCTGCGAAACGGCATTAAGTCCCGCAGGGCCCTGACGGAAGTTGGCAGAGTCCCACCAGGTCGGAGCAAAGCGGGCAAAGTTCCCACCGCTTTAATATTAGGCGTAAATACGGCTGTTAATAGATAATAGAACCAGGGGTCATTTCCTGCAGGAGCGCACAGGAGCGGAGCTCCGGCAGTAAAGAGCCCAGGGGGCGGGCACATGCAACAAGCCCCACCCCCTGCTCCCAGCAGCCCTCAGTCCGAGCAAGAAGCAGCCAGGTAAGTGGCAGAGCTCCCCCCGCCCCCCCGGTCCAAAACAGTGCAGTGGCTCCTTTAAGACCAAGTTTTATTCAGGTACAAGCTCTCCCTCCTCTGCCAGGACAGATCTGCACGTTCCCCCCCCCCCCCAAACTAGCAATCCAAAACAGTCCAGTGGAGCTTGAGCGGTGGGTGTTGCCTTCTGACACACTTCCGGTGATGTCAGGGTGTGTGGCCTATGCAAATAAGTTATGCTAATGAGTTGTACTAATGAGCTCCTGCACCTCTTTTTCTACGAAATGACCCCTGGCTAGACTCACACACACTCCCAAACACATCCCCGTCCCATCCGTCACCACCAGTACTGACCCTCTCGCCGTCTTCGCCGTGGGGGCCAGGGAGGCCTTGCGCACCGGAGTCACCCTGGTGTGGAGGGGAAGAGAAAAAAAATCCGTGAGCCCGGGCTGGCTAGCAAGAGACGCATCGGCCGCCTCTCCACGGCAAACCTGGCCAGCCCTTTCCCTGGAATTCTAGGACCTGCAGTTCTGTGAGGGGCTCGTGGGACTCTGAGCAGCTGCGGAAATCTCAACCGGTGCGTGCACAGTAAAGGAGGGGAAGCTTCACCAGGCGCATTTCTGCCTGAGGTCAAGCGGGGCGGGCGGAAGAGAGGAAGGCAGTTCTATAGGCAATTCCCAAGATTCCTGGGGGAGAAGCAATGAGAACGGAGCCGGTTTAAAACCAGTTGGAGCCAGTGGTGCAGAAGTGGAGACAGGGACAGAAAATATGTCCGGGGGAGGAAGATGATGATGAAGAAGAGATTGGATTCCTACCCTGCCCTTCACTACCCGAGGGAGTCTCAGAGCGGATTACAAACTCCTTTCCCTCCCCCTCCCCACAACAGACACCCGGTGAGGTAGGTGGGGCTGAGAGAGCTCTGACAGAAACTGCTCTTTTTTGAAGAACAGCTCTTATCAGAACTACGGCTTGCCCAAGGCCATCCAGCCAGGTGCAACTGGAGGAGGAGTGGAGAATGGAACCCGGTTCTCCCAGATAAGAAGAAGAAGAAGAAGAAGAAGAAGAAGAAGAAGAAGAAGAAGAAGAAGAAGAAGAAGAAGAAGAAGAAGAAGAAGAAGAAGAAGAAGAAGAAGAAGAA